TAAAAAAAAAAAAAAGTAATTATTTAATCTGAGCATCATAAATTATGTGTATATTTTTCTGCAAAAAAAATACACTCAATTCGTAGTTTTGAATAATAACAAGTGATGAAATAAATAATAAAATGTAGTCTCTCATTTAAGAGGCCATAAACTACTTTGAATATGAGACTACATCTATATTTACATGTCAAAAGAGCCAGTCAATTTCTAAAAATAATTTTAGCTACTTCAAGTTGGTGCCACTCAACAACTGCTCAAGGTGCATGTTTGAATTACCGAAAATATTTTTGGATAACATAACAGTTGTTTACGATCAATTCTCTTAAGTTACATCATTGAAATGGTGCTCTGCACTGATTTTATAATTGAGGTTAGAACTGATATATAATAAATAAATATATTTTAAATTTTATTTTATAGATTTCTGTAAATAACATTTTTCTTTAGAGTTGCATCTTTGTTTTACTTTTCACTACTACTGAATAAGAGCAGTACTACTTAAACTTTTCTCTAACTAATGAAAGCATTATTGTATCTAATGTTTCTTCCAAGTTTTAAGCCAAAAATAATGAAAATGTTTTTATTTATTTATTTATTTTTTATTTGTAAAAAAATTTTTTTCAGACGGAGTCTGACTCTGCCACCCAGGCTGGAGTGTAGTGGCATGATCTAGGTTCACTGCAACCTCCCCCACAACCCCCTGCCACTCAAGCAATTCTCCCATCTCAGCCTCACAAGTAGCTGGGACTACAGATATGTGCCATTAAACTCAGCTATATTTTTGCATTTTTGATAGAGACAGGGTTTCACCATGTTGCCCAGGCTGGTCTGGAACTCCTAAGCTCAAGTGATCCACCTGCCTCGGCCTCCCAAAGTGCTGGGATTACAGGCGTGAGTCACTGTGCCTGGCCACTGAAAATTTTCTAAAAAGTCAACTGTATTCAAAAAATAGTAACATGTTATGAAGTAAATCAATATATAATTGATACATATAAGGTTCCAGGATAAGGAATAAAATACAAATATTTCTAGAAAATCTTTTGGAATACTTGATTGTCATTATTATGTGAATTTGACTATCTGCAACCTAATGAAATGTGATTTGTGATTTTTTTCACTTGACAAAAAAGTTTATTATTAATTCAATATACTTGTGTATGGGTGGATAACTAAATATAACTAACCCTTTCAAAAAGAACAGTTAAAACAATTTTGGTTAAGAATATCTAGAATATGGAGAAATTAAAAGAGTTGGTTCTGAAAATTCAGGGAAATAATTATGTAACTAGATTGTTTGTTCTAAGGAAAGTTTTGGAAAACATTTAGATGGCATTATTTTAAAGTCTAAAAGCTTTTTCATCAAGACTTTCTATTTTTACTGAGGTGAGTTTAATCTCACGGTGGAGATATGTAACATGCCTCTGTATTACACTATCAACTAATCAAGCTATGCTATTACATAAATTTGTCCAATCATACATCTATAAAAATAAACAATATGCTTAATAAATCAATCTTCAATACATGTAAAAAATCCTGCATGTATAGTTTATAATTATAAAACAATAAGCATAATTCTATAATTTAAAAATGCACCACTTCCAAAAGTTATATAGCCTTCAAACAGAATTACTATTATAAAGAACTTACTGCTATAGCTTGAAATAAAAACAAATAATTTTAAAATTGTTCATCTAAAACCTTTATGCTATTTTCTCGATTTTTTTACAAATGTGTGTCACATGTACCATAAAAATAGAAACCTATAGCTACTCCAGAATTTTAAGTCTACTCCTAATTCTAAACACATTAAATCAAAGATGTCATGTATGAACACCCATGATGTATGAAAAAAATGCACTGTAGCTCTTTCTAAAACTACTAATTATATACAACAAACACAGCTTTGTATTATCACATAAACTTTGAATATTGTAGAAAGCTAAGGCATATTTAAAATAAACACAAACTAAGCTTCATAAAAGCTAAGAAAACACGTCTATTACACAATAGAACCTACAGGAAGCATTTACGGAATGTGGCTTAGATTTATATAAGATTACTCAAGGTCTGCTTGTCCTGTAGCATTTCTGTTGCACTTAGGCTGCACATCACACGTAGTTACACATACAATTACAATATCTAGTTGAACAGTGAGGAGTACAGGTGACAAAATAGCAAAATGGGGCAGTAGTATTTCATGATGAAATGAAAAGGATAATAAATACTGATTGAATATGAATTCAATTTTTAAAAATTATTCTAAAGCATATATACATTTTCATTTATAGCATGGACAGGGTGGTCAACAGAGAAAACAGACTTATACATAAAAGATTAATGAATGAATGGGATTAAAATTGTTTTACAATTTTTCCATTTAAATCATGGAAAATAAAAATAGTGTCAGGAATGTAATAGCTTAAATATTGTATCATTTAAAAATAAACCTGCATAATTAAAATAAATGAGATAATATTTTCAGAATTTTTTGTTCAATTTATGCACTATAGATTTTGATCAAATTAAGTAATACTTCTTTGAGTGCTTGCAGGGGAGAAAGAATACAGTACACTGTAGCTCATCAGTTAGGCTACTTATAATTTAATAGACAAACTTCACTAAAAGTTTCTTTTATTTATCTATGATGACTAGGCTTAAGATTTGCTATCTTTCTGTCTTTTTCTATGCATGACTAGAATAAGAACCAGAGAGACCATCAAGAACATTTCATTGAGAATATTCCAGGAGTCCATTAATGACAACACAAATGGTTGGAAGATATCTGTGACCTTGTGAGGCAAACGTAATAAAATAATGACAGTTAAATTAAAGGTGCCACCAAGTCAACTGATTAGAAGGAATCAAGTAAGGAAATAGATATTTTTGCCCTCTGGCCTTTGTGGAAAACTAGTTTCAATGCCTTCTGTATTGTTCTCAAATGGAGATAATCTCTCAAACAAAAGCAAAGTATAGATCAAGAATAGTTAATAGTCAAAAATAGCATTCATTTTCATCTACGGCCCAAATTTAAATACTGTTAAATTTCAGTACCATCATTGGCTTATGTGGGTAAATATTTTAGCCCAAAGCAGAAGTCAGTTTAGAGGTTCCTTTCTCAGAGACACTGCATTCTAAGACATGGAGTCACAGCTTTAAAAATAAAGTGTCTATTTTCATCTTCTTCAAATACAGCACTCATCAAAACATCGAAGAATGCTTTTAAAGAGATTCTGGGTAATTATTTCAAGGAATTTTCATCTTCATATATACAAAGGAGTGATAAGGACCTTTACTCATTACAGTTATGAAGGAAAGATTCACTGAAACGGAAGAAAAACGAGGTATTCTCCCTTAGTTCAGAGGGTGCAGAAAAGGAAAAGCCAGGATAGTTACGACACGAGCAATCAAAATGCAAATGCATTTGTATAAAAATTACATACACTAATGATCATGAAGGCATGGCAGCTTACTATGGGACATTTCAACTTCTGATTCACTTTTCTGGGCTTTTTCATTTTATTCAAAATTAAATTGAGACTTTAGATTTTGGAAACCTCCACTCCAGGTATATCTTGCTACCTGCAGGGCACTGATTTTAGGAATATACTAAGTTGGCTCAATTTTTACATTCCTTGGAATGATCTGAAATAAACTGAAATATTTATCAAGAATAAAAGGGAGGAACTGCAAACTTTTTCTATGTGAATAATTTGTACAAAGGTATATTTTTTAATTTCAAGCAATTTTCCTACAACAGTTGTTTATAAGTATGTAACACAATATTGTAACTCACATGACACCTCACATTACCAGTAAAAGTAGTTACACTCACAATAATTATGATCCACTAAGTAATGTTGAAACAACCAGATAGCATGTACATTCAAGGAAACTGACATCACTGGAAATACAAGGGATTCTGTATGGAGCTAATGGAAATGCTAAATTTTAACAGAAACTTGTTTAAAATATTACCTATATATTAAATAACCAAGAATTACACTTATTTGAAATACTGAACAGAGCATAAAACTTTTCTATATACCTTTACATCAAAGAACACCTCAAATTAACACACTAATTTTAATGTACATACACAACAGACCAAATCCTATTCACACTTTTCAAGATAAAATGATACATAATTAACATTTGAATAAAAATTCAAGAAGCATATGTTATGTAGTCATTAGAAGGGTCCTTTGTACTCCCTTTTTATCCCAATAAATCATGATTTTAAAAATCTCCGTTAGTGCTGTTAGTAAGTCAGAAATAGTTTAAGAATATAGCATAAAACTGGAACATGTCATTCTTTCCTCAATAAAACATAATGTACACAAAATATGAGGCATTTCTCATTTGTGTAGAAAATGAGTTAGTTGACTTACTGTGAAGAGTTAACTTTAAAGGAAAAATTAAATAAATGATATAGAATTAGTAATTTAATGCTAGAGAAATAAAATAGACTTATTTAAATAAGTAACTCTAGCAAACTCACATTTTTCCTAGGTAGTTTCAAAACTGAGATAAAATCTATTCGAAATCTCCTGTCTAAATCCTTATTTCCACCGTCATATGACTGGAACTATTTCATAATATGAGAAATATCATTATACTTTTTTTTCAAAATATCAGGGAGTAAAAAGAACTTTACATTCTCCTTTTGACAGATAAAAATGGAAAGGACTTCTTTATTTTAAAATATTTATAGAGAAAGAAAACACTATTACAACAAAAATAACTTTTTTTCCTTTTTTCATTTTCCGAGACAGAGTCTCGCTATGTCGTCCAGGCTGGAGTGCAGTGGCGTGATAGCGGCTCACTGCAACTTCTGCCTCCCGGGTTCAAGCAATTCTCCCTGCCTCAGCCTCCCGAGTAGCTGGGATTACAGGCGCCTGCCACCACGCCCGGCTAATTTTTGTATTTTTTAGTAGAGACGGAGTTTTGCCATGTTGGCCAGGCTGGTCTCAAACTCCTGACCTCAGGTGATGCGCCTGCCTCGGCCTCCCAAAGTGCTGAGATTACAGGCGTGAGCCACAGCGCCCGGCAAAAAATAGCTTTTTAATGATTAAAAGGAGTGGAACAGCATGATTACAACCAACATAAAAACCTAGTAAAATCATTTTCTATCATTCAACTTTTAAGCAGAGAAGTGGGTAATCATAGTGATTTTCTCAGTAACGTTATTTTCAAAAAACTGAACCAGAGCTTTTTGGTTTCGTTTTTTGTTTGTTTGAGGTCTTAAAAAAAATCTCTTGCCCTGGATACTTTTCAGAGAGTAGCTTGGATAGTTCAGCTTCACTTCCAAACTCCCAGAGATAATGTTTTAATTATTCAACAATCAGGGCAAGTAATTGCATGTTTTCATGACTGATATATTAACCATAAGTGTTATATATTAACCAAGACAGCATTATATTACATCACAGCTGTTGACATTCAGAGCAAACAAACAGAGAAACAGCATGAGAGAACTCTGTTATTGCACTGCATAAATTTTAAATTTCCATTACCAGATTACAGCTAAAGAAAACAAGGTTCACTGGGACATCATTTTTAAGATGGTTTTTGTTTGTTTGCTTTCAATGGGAAATCTAAATGACAAAATTAATGATCTTAGCCTAATTTGGAAATCACAAATCATTGAAATTTTTTGGAAGGGGAATGGAATTTTGTTGTTCCTAGAAAGTTATATCTCAGTGCAGATTTCAATAGGTGATGTACTGGAATCAGTCTAGGACAAGAAAAATAACACGTTATCAAAATCAGATGGTTGTGTTCTAGGCGTTTTATTTGCCAAGCATGCTTCATGGTTAAAATTCACATTAGCAAAATATAAATGCACAGACTCAAAGTTACTGAATTTTACAATAGCGAATACCAATCCTATTCCAAGCTAACTCAGACTGCAATTATCATTTCAAATCCATGTATCATGTCTACAGCATAGTTTCATGCATGAATTAGAACTCTCTAAAGTTTTCACCGTTCATTTCACCTCATTTCTGAAACTGAAAGACTATTCTAACTCAAATCATGGAAATTTGTAAGGTTTGTTTGTTTTTTGGGAAATGATATACCCCAAACACATGTCTTAGACAGTGACTGGAAGACCCTCAAAAAGTTCTACTTTCATTTTTATTCTCCCTTCTGTTTTTTTACATGTATAGTCCTCACGATATTTAATGGGAGAATTGTATTAAACAAGACTTGGTTTTGGCAGTTTATCTCTTTTATATGACATTGATCAAAACAGATTTTAAAATAATTATTTATACTTATGGTTTCTCTAGGGTCATACCAACCAATTACTATTGGCTTGCTTTGGAAGGTGGTAATAGAAAATAATGTGAAGCCTCATCCTCTCAAATTTCATGTTTTTAAAATTTCTACTACAATACATGCAAAAATGCCTTCCAAAATACATGTAGAAACTTATGCCAAAGAAGAGCATTATATTCCCCAGATATAGATGGCTTTATGCAATATATGCACTTCTATCTAATAAATGTCCCATATATTTTCAAAACATCTCATGATCAAAGAGAATGAGAAATTATGAGAAGGAGAAAGTATTTGATTGCCTTTTTAAAACATAAAATTTCAGATGAATTCCCTTGTCTCTTATAGTCTACTAGAACCATTTTATATTCCACTTTCATGTTTCTATTCAGATGAGTAATGAACTAACTGTAAATATCCCCAAACCCTCATTTTGAAAATGCATTTCTAACTGTTTAAGATAAATTGGAATACTTCTGCCTTCTGCTAACAGTAATATTTTATTCCACTCTAAGTATTTCCTTAAGGAACAATGAATTTGTATTGTATTGGCTGTCACTTCTCCCATTTTGTATGATATTTCTTTAAAAAGAAGACACCTACTGTATTTGAATTTTTAAATACATAATTTCTTTTTCAATGTTCATGTATCTTCCTAGCATTCTGCAACATTAGTGAACACCCTAATATTAAACACAAATTGGTGAGTATATAGAAAAGTTAAAGAACATTACAAATGTAGCACAAAAGGTCAAGATTCAAATTATTTTTAGTTTTTATTTTGTTATTCTGCCTAAGTTCACCAATTCATGTATTGAAGATATTTAGAAATGAATATGAAGCAACTGTGAACCAATGACAAAGTATGTAATTTCTTTATTTTTTAAGATGTGAAAAATATCAAGTAAGTCATCTGCGAATTCAGTGATTCTAAAACAGTCTTTTTAGTTAATAAAAACCTAATAACAACCAATAACTGACTGTCATTAGCATTTACTTTTTTGTATTTTGCTTAATTCTTATGTTTAGGAAAATGTCTCTCAGTTACATAAGATGCATCATGGAAAATGGTTTATTAATTTTATTGATTTAGGATTATAACATATTTTTAAAAATAAAAAGGTGAGGATATTTGAAAAGTACTTCAATTTTTTGTTCTTCATCCATGCCCTCCTTAATATGTATTCATAAACTCAAGTAAAATTAGTCTAGCTCATAAAATATCTCTGTGCCTTCACAAAGCACTGAAACCAGAACTTGCTCTATTAATTAACTTCATTCATTCTATTAAAAATGATGATCTACCACTGTAATTCACAAACCCACTCTTTGTATACATTTAAAGAAAGTCACATATTAAACCCAGGAAAAAAAATGTTATTATACCCAAACCATATCATGTTACTCATAAAAGATACTTTTGTGCTAAGAAACGTATCCAGTAAGCAGAATAGCAATAAGAATTACGAAATGAGACTGCCCTTTTTAATAGTTAAATATAAACAAAAACACACCCTGTGGAGATGTTTGACGTCTATTATGTTTGTTGCCCATCCCAGATCCACTAACTATGTAAAATATGGGATTCATCCAAACTGTAGAAATAACGACTGCAGCATAAATTCATTTAAAGTCTAACAGTAACTATACAAACACTAGGTTTCTAGTTTACCTTTTGAAACAGCATTTAATTGCGTACCTACTGTAACAAAAATGCTCCCACATTTGAATTAGTACCTTACGTTCACTGTGTGGTTCAGAGAGCAAGGTAAATGTTACTGTATTATTTAACTGTGCTTATGCTTGAATGACTTCCATTCTTAAACCCATTTCCAAAGTTATGATAAATTATTTGCATTGTTATCTTGAATGTAGTAGAATTCTTTAATATCTCAAACTTTTGGTGAAAGAAAATCCATTTTGACTTTCACATTACTACCATTTTGTTAAGCCTGAATAGTTGTTCAAAATACTTTACTCCCTGAAACTTAGATTACCACCTTCTTAAGAGTTAACACAGACAAAATAATAAAGTCAACATATAGCATGACTTCAAGAGAAAAAAATGTAGGTAAATTCCATTGCTTGTCATTTTAAGGGGAATAATCATATGTAAATCATTTAATGTTTATGAGTTTCTGGATAAATTTGTATTCATTTCTCCATGAAGCACTGATAAAAGGCACTGGATAAACTCTTGCTTTCATAAATGTATTGGGTTTTAAATTATCGTGCACCGATTTCTTGGGTCTTAACATGCCCACATTTTTCTTTGTGCCCATTAGATAAAGCAAACATTTTATTTTCCAAAATAGATCTTTTAAGACTGTCTTCTGAAGAGCTCAAAATACGTTGAATCAATATGCAAATATTTAAATAGCTATCTAGAGACCTCATATATATTTCATTCTCTGGTTTAAAGATGAGAGTGAGTAGGCTTTCATTTTTCTAATTCCATTCTTGCTATATTATATGACTGTAGATTTGATGAACCAAAATAATTTTGAGTTCCTAATCTGAAAATGACACTTTTCTTTGTGAGGACCTGAAGGCCTGGTAGAGTGGGTGGTGGGGGGGGGATTATTTTGGTGCTGAATTTCTGTGAACAACCACTAATTTTCCCAAGTGAAGCTAGGATTCTAAACATCATTAGTATTTAGAGCTATTTATCAAATTCTGAAAAGCTTTACTGTGCTGTATCTAGCCCAGACTATTCTGATCCTCATGCACACAAAAATGGTACTGAGGACAGGGCTACAACCCTTTGTGTTGAAGTTTTTCTAATATATTCTGTAGCAAGAATTGTCATACTGCCATCTACAGACAAAACTGCCCCTACTATACTCATCATTCTGCATCCAATTTTCCTAAAACAGCAGTTATTTTGTTCTCATCTTCTACCAAACTTAAAGGAATCCGTATATCTATTTGGATACATCTGTAGAATATGATTGTTTAGATTCCTCTTTGAAGTCAATAGATTTTGCAAAGTTCTACATCAACTGAAAATAATAAAAAATATAGTTAGAAAGTTACGTTAGAAATCTGGGTTACCTACCGGTCTGGCGTGTACAGACACAGGTGCCTTGAAGGTTGTCACTGGATAGCTGCAGTCAGAAACACTGTAGGGATCAGAGCTGCTTGAGGAACACTTGGAGATTGAATCACAGGCCACAAAGGTGTTATCAAGAGGCAGTTCTTGGATGATGTGGTGCTTTGAACTCAGGGGAGTTTCAGGCTGAATCTGGAAGGCAGGCTGTGGAGAGGAAGATCTGTAGTGTCGGGCCAAATCAGGGCTGTCAGGTTTGAAAGTAGTGGGTGTAGTGCTCCAATTGTACTTGCCCATGGTTTGCTCTTCTAGATCAATAGGAAGGTCTAGTGTGACTCTGTTTTCATCATTGTCAACATCATCTGTCTTAGTTTCTTCAATAGTGACAAATTTAAGCAGCAGGTTCTTAGGGGAATGCTTCTTCTTCTTCTTCTTTTTCTTCATCATTATCATCTGCCTGTTTTCTGGGTTTGGGGTAACCCATTCAGAATTCTGCTTGTTTTTCTGAGCAGCCTTAAGGCGTGGTGCCTGGTGACATCTTACTATTGCAGTGATGGAAATAACTACAATGACAGTTATGGTGCCAGCAAGAGCTGCAACCACAATCTTGACATAGTCACTTGTTGGTGAGGATGTATCAGCTATCTCAGTACTTGGCGTCACTGGTGATTCAATGCTTTTGTGCACCAGTTCATTAATCAGCGTAGTGTTGGTCAGTGACTCATTCACAAACAGATTGACAATTACAACACTGAAGAGAGAATCAGGTTGTCCTAAGTCCTGAGCTTTGACCAACAGTCTGTGTAAACCAAGGTCTGTAACAACACATTTCTCCTTCAGTGTTATGTTGCCTGTTAGTTGGTCGATTTCAAACAGATCTTTTGTGTTTCCTCCTACAATGCTGTAACGAAGCTCTGCATTCTTGCCAGTGTCATTGTCGACAGCAATTACCCTAAAGACCTCTGTGTCTGGATTGGTGGATGGTAGAACCAATTCGTAAGAGTAGTTGGAAGGAGGGACAATAAAAACTGGTTTGTTGTCATTGACATCAACCACATTTATGGTTACTTTGGCACTTGAAGAACGTGATACTCTACCACCATCCTCGGCCTTTACATAGAAAGTGTAAGATTCTTGTTTTTCTCTGTCAAATGAAATATTTGGTTGGATGACACCAGTTTCTGAATCAATGGTGAAGTAATCATTCATATCTAAAATGGAGAGAGTAACTGCAGAATTCTCTCCATAATCAGGATCAGTTACAGTGATTAGTCCTACTGTACCATGTCTTGGAAGGTTTTCTGGGACATAGAAATTGTATTCATTGTGAGTGAAAATTGGGCTATTGTCATTCTGATCAATAATATTTACAAAGACCGAGACATTGGAGGTTAAGGGTGGCACCCCGTTGTCTTTTGCCAGAACTGTGAATAAATATTTTTCCTGTTTTTCTCTATCTAGTTTCTTTACTGCAGACAGCATGCCTGTACGACGATCCAGCTCGAACTCAGGTGGAGCATCAGTGCCTAGCAGGAAACTGATCTCCCCATTAGGCCCACTGTCTGCATCTGTTGCACTTACTTTCGTCAACTGTGCACCAGGAAAGTTATTCTCAGGAACAGAAAGACTTACGAAAGACTGGGTGAACACTGGAGGATTGTCATTTTCATCTTTCAGTTTGATGAGGAGCATGGATGACTGATTCAAAGGAGGTTTGCCAGCATCTGTAGCCAGTAATTTAATGGCATATTCTCTTGTGGACTCAAAGTCAAGAGGTGCTGCAGTCTCCAGGAGGAACTGATTACTGAATACTGGCCTTAATCTGAAAGGGATTTCGAGATCTGTAAAGCACGTCACCCTGCCATTATGGTCTGCATCCTTATCCGTGACAGTTATGAGAGCAATTTTGGTGTTGCTTGGAGCATTTTCTGAAAGAACAACAGAGCCATTGATTGGATTGATGATGTACCTTATGTCAATGGATGGGACATTATCATTGACATCTGTAACATTTACCAGCACCATTGCTTTTGCTGGAGTCAATCCACCATCACTTGCCAAAACCTGTAACTTGTGGCTTGGTGATTCTTCCCTGTCCAGTGGTTCTTTGATTGTGAGAAGTCCAGTGGTGGCATTGAGGTCAAATAATCTCTTGGCAGTGTTGGAGACTAGATTGCTGAAATAGAAGTGGATTCTGGCATTTTCACCTATGTCAGCATCTGTGGCATGGAGCTGTGTCACTGAAGTACCAACAGGAGCATTTTCTGGTATACTGACTTCAATCTCCTCCTCCTTAAAGACTGGGTGGTTGTCATTTGTATCAGTAACACTTACTTGCAAAATAGCTGTACTGGACCTTTGAGGAGAGCCACCATCTTCAACCTTTACTTTCATCACGTAGGTATCCTTCTCTTCCCTATCTAACTCCTTTTGAACAATCAGTTGTGGCATCTTGTCTCCTTCTGGTGTTTCAATGACATCGAGGCCAAAAACGTTTTGACCCTGGAAAACATGCAATGAAACAGAATTGCCTTATGTTAATATAAATTAATATATGAATATGAATAATAAAATATAATTTAACTTATGTTAGCTTATGTGATGAGAACAATTTTCAGTTTCTTGAAGCCACATAACATAGTAGGATCAGTTCAGAAACAGGTGTCGGAAGACTTGAGTTCTAAGTCTCAACTCTGCCTATAACAATTATTGTGACTACAAGTAAGTTACTTAACATTTCTTGACACTTGTAAAATTAGAGAGCTGTGCTAGAAGATGTTCTGGGGGAGGGAGGCTTCAGACTGTAGCATTTTATGGTAATAAATGTTACTCACTTATGTGAACTATATGTTTTTTAAATTAATTTATTATTTTATTTTATTTTTCCATAAGTTATTGGGGTTCAGGTGGTATTCGGTTATATGAGTAAATTCTTCAGTGGTGATTTGTGAGATTTTGGTGCACCTATCACTGGAGCAGTATACACTGCACCATATTTGTAGTCTTTTAGCCCTGGCCTCCCTCCCTCTCTTCCCCCCAAGTCCCCAAAGTCCATCGTATCATCTTTATGCCTTTGTGTCCTCATAACTTAGCTCCCATATATCAGTGAGAACATACAATGTTTGGTTTTCAAACTACTTAAGTTTTCAAAAGGAAAAAGTATACAGAATTTTAAAAAGAATTGTCACTAAATTTTCACAAGATAAACGAAGCTATAAGCGAACTATCCAAGATTATTCCAAATGAATTAAAATATTTTTGGCTGTAGATTTCAGTTGTCTAAGATGCTTTTTCAGTACCAAAGTAAGCACCAAGATAAAAATATTCCTCCAAGACAACATCATAAGTGTCATATCTAATAAATACAGCTAAAACCTTTAGCGGATGGGAAAAAACCAAACTCTGGTCAAAATATAAACTTATATAAAATACGCCGAATTTCAATATTTCCCATAGGAACACACAATCGAAATGAAATTATCTCAGAGATTAAAAATGCAACGTTATTTTCTTAACTTTTTTTGTTAACATGCAAGCACAATGAACTAAAATTCACAGGTCAAATCTGAAATTGAGAAAGACATCTTGGGATAGGACCTATTTTCAATTCATGCCCACAAAGTCACAGTATGGGAATATTTAAAAAAACAGTCTCCTCCCTGAACTATAATAAGATAATCCCTACACACAAACATAGTGATTGTGCCAGCTCGCTGAGGAGTAATGAGAGAGGAGGATTCCTGTCCAGTGTTACTTGCAGCACTATGACAGAGATGAATGAGATAAAAGATACTGGGGGTGTGAAGAAAAGATCAGAAGAAGAACTTAAGATTCCTATTCAGAGGTGATTTATGAATATCTATCTATCTATCTATCTATCTATCTATCTATCTATCCACACACACACACACACACATATGTACATCTAAATAATTTTTAATTATCTACCACATTTTTTAACATACATGTTGTGGACATGTGGCAAGGATCAGTTATTGGTCTCTTATTTATGTGCTGTGTCATGAAAGAACAGGATAAGATCTGAGGTTATAGTTTTGTCATACTACTGTCTAAAACACGATCCTAAAAATTAGAACCTAATAAATAATAATAGAATTTCAGAGATTGCTAGAATATATAATCAGTTTACAAATATATTTTGATCACATTATCTTTTAAAAATTTACCTGTCTTCTAATTGCCTATGTAGTCTTTTTATTTACAAACAAAATACTTTATTATAAAGCCATACATTGATGGAATGATCAAATGAGATTATAGAATCATGACTATAGAAATAGAAATACAAGTCTATTCACTAAGCCCACTATGACTCATGTAGGATGATATCTTCTAGAGAAAAAGATGGTCATTCAATCAAGTACTTGTGATAATCGTTTTTAGAAAGAGAAGTCAGATGATTCCAAGTTCTAAAGTCAGAAAGAAATAAATTAATAACTGAAAAATTACAGATTTTATTGGATAAATGGTTAAGTGTTTAGTTGTGAAAACATAATTTTTTCTCCAGAGAGTTAAAATGCCCGAGTACTGACCCTCTTTTGTTTATAATTGACAATATCCCCAGGATGCTTTCTTCAAGAAAATTATCAGTATAAACATTTTAACTCTTTGGAGAAAAATTTATATATAATAATAATTTTCTTGAAGAAAACATCTTAGGGTTTTTGTCAATTACAAAGAAGGCTTAGCACTCAGGCTCTTTGTCTTAAGGAAACAGAACTTTGAATTTTTTTTAATTGCCTAAAAAAACCTGTTGCATAGAACTCTTTATGACTCTGATAAAGGGCATATGTTTTTCTGTATCTACTAGAAAAAGGAGCAACCTCTGCTGCCCAGGTTCAAGCAACTCTCCTGCCCCAGCCACCTGAGTAGCTGGGATTACAGGTGCCTGCCACTGTACCAGGCCAATTTTTGTAGTTTTTAGTAGAGATGGGGTTTCACCATCTTGGCCAGGCTTGTCTTGGATCCTGACCTCATGATCCACCAGTTTTGGCCTCGCAAAGTGCTGGGAACAAAGGCATGAAGCATGGAGACCAGCCAGATTCTGTTCCCTTAAAGCAGGATCCATTTTTCACATGTAATTTCACAATGGGTGATATGACCAGCTAAGCCTATAAATGGTCATTGCTCCAAATCAGGACTCTAAGGTAATACTGTTTTAATTTACCATGGCCTAGCACATGTAGCAAAGTTGCATAATAGAAGAAAAACAAATCCGGGTTTTACCATTCTCATGGCATTACCATAATCTCCAGTGAGTAAAATGATATTTCTTAAAAATTGACCCAATTTATCTATTACAACTATAGCCTATAAGGTACTTTCAGTAACAAAGTGATTGTGATAAAGAAGAATGTTGGCCAGGTACAGCGGCTCACACCTGCAATCCCAACACCTTGGGGAACCAAGGCAGGAGAATTGCTTAAACCCAAAAGTTTGAGACCAACCTTAGAACCTTAGAGAGACATCATCAATACAAAAAATTTAAAAAATTAGCTGAGCATGGTAACACACGCCTGTAGTCCTCCCTATTTCAGAGGCTGAAGTAAGAGGATCACTTGAGCCCAGGAAGTCAAGGCCGCACTGAGCCATGATCACAACACCCCTCTATTCTGGGCAACATAACAAAATTAACAAATAAAAAAAAAAAAAAAAAAAAAAAAAAAAAAAAAAGAATCCTTTTTGTCATTCAACACTTGATTTTGAAAGCTTGATAACCTGGCTAACAGAACTGAGGGTCCCTGGAAAGAGGAGTTCCCTGGAAAGAGGTGCTTTTTTCTTTTCTTTTCTTTTCTTTTTTTATTTTTAACAAGTTCTAGGGTACATGTGAAGATCATGCAGGATTGTTACATAGGTATACACATGCTGTGGTGGTTTGCTGACTACATCCCCCCATCACCTACATTGGGTATTTCTCTCAATGTTATCCCTCCTCAATCTCCCTACCCTCTGCTATCTCTATTTCATTCTTCTCTCTCCTTTTTTTTTTTAAATTAGTCTGGCTAGCGGTATATCTATTTTGTTGATCTTTTCAAAATACCAACTCCTGGATTTATTGATTTTTTGAAGGGTTTTTTGTGTCTCTATCTCCTTCAGTTCTGCTCTGATCTTAGTTATTTCTTGTCTTCTGTTAGCTTTCAAGTTTTTTTGATCTTGCTCTTCTAGCTCTTTCAATTTTGATGATAGGGTGTGGATTTTAGATCTTTCCTTGCTTCTCATGTGGGCACTTATTGCTATAAATTTTCCTCTAGACACTGCTTTAAATGTGTCCCAGAGAGTCTGGTACGTTGTATCTTCATTCTTGTTGGTTTTGAAGAACATCTTTATTTCTGCCTTCATTTCATTGTTTATCCAGTCAACATTCAGGAGCCAGTTGTTCAGGTTCCATGAAGCTGTGCAGTTCTGAGTTAGTTTCTTAATTCTGAGTTCTAATTTGATTGCACTGTGGTCTGAGAGGCTGTTATGATTTCCATTCTTTTGCATTTGCTGAGGAGTGATTTACTTCCAATTATGTGGTCAGTTTTAGAGTAGGTGCAATGCAGTGCTGAGAAGAATACATATATTCTGTGGATTTGGGGTGGAGATTTCTGTATATGTCTATTAGGTCTGCTTGGTCCACATCTGAGGTCAAGTCCTGGATAACCTTGTTAATTTTCTGTCTCATTGATCTGTCTAATATTGACAGTGGAGTGTTAAAGTCTCCCACTATTATTGTGTGGGAGGCTAAGTCTCTTTGTAGGTCATTAAGAACTTGCTTTATGTATCTGGGTGCTTCTGTATTGGGTGCGTATATATTTAGGATCGTTAGCTCTTCTTGTTGCATTGACCCGTTTATCATTATGTAATGCCCTTCTTTGTCTCTTTTGATCTTTGTTGGTTTAAAGTCTATTTTATTAGAGACTAGGATTGCAACTCCTGCTTTTTTCTGTTCTCCATTTGCTTGGTAAATCTTCCGCCATTCCTTTATTTTGAACCTATGTGTGTCATTGCAAGTGAGATGGGTTTCCTGGATACAGTACGCCAATGGTTTTTGACTTTTTATTCAATTTGCCAGTCCATGTCTTTTCATTGGGGCATTTAGCCCATTTACATTTAAGGTTAATATTGTTATGTGCGAATGTGATCCTGCCATTTTGATGCTAGCTGGTTGTTTTGCCCATTAGTTGATGCAGTTTCTTCATTGTGTCGATACTGTTTACCATTTGGTATGTTTTTGGAGTGGCTGGTACTGGTTGTTCCTTTCCATGTTTAATGCTTCCTTCAGGAGCTCTTATAAGGCAGGCCTGGTGTTGATGAAATCTCTTAGCAATTGCTTGTTTGCAAATGATTTTATTACTCCTTTGCTTATGAAGCTTACTTTGGTCAGATATAAAAACCAGGGTTGAAAATTCTTTTCTTTAAGGACGTTGAATATTGGCCCCCACTCTCTTCTGGCTTGTAGGGTTTCTGTGAGAGATCTGCTGTGAGTCTGATGGGCTTCC